TTTGTAGAACGATGTGCGATTCAATTTGATCTCATTTCTTATTCTAAGAGATATCTGTTTGTATTATTTTTCTTATATTTATTTAATGAAAAAATAATGCAATAATGAAAATAAAATATTGATTGTGCATGGTATTTGTATTCTTGCAACTCACATCTCTTATAAAAAATCCTTTATTGCATCCTTTATTGCATATATTATAAATATATGTATGTAAGTATGTATGTATTATAATATATGTAGTTTTTTATATAGTTGTATTATATTTTTAAATTTATTGGGACATGAAAAAAATGTTCACTCAATTTTGAAATATTAAGACACGAAACGCTTAAATGCTTGACATATTACTTGATTTAGCTCATTGTACTAATACAAAATAATCATATCGCGTAGTGTCAAATTAATTAATCTTTCTCCAATTTTTCATCGATATCATATACATTTTGTTTTGAATAATATATCATAACACTTGGTTTGCAACTCACGCGTAGATTAGTTATTTTCACATCTATACATTCAAAAGGTCCATCTGTCACTGATGAATTTTTAGCCGAGAAACGTTTCGAGCAAAATGCAATTAAAAAAGTTTATGACGCGACGAGGGCTACTTTTTTTTTCCTCGCACACCACTTTCACATCGGAACACGACGAGAGATGCACGAAGCGGTCACTCGGTTTGCGAGCTACTGACCACTCGCAGTTGCATCCGCTGCACGAGATGCATTCACACACACACACACACATACGCATCCACACACCGGACCATCTCGTCGCACACTAACACCAACGAGCACGCGAAATTTCCCCACCGACGGGACGAACGCATTTTCGCAATTGGATGTTCGAATCCGGTCGGCCCACCTTCGACCACGTGCGAAGTTTTTGCCCTCGGAACTTCCTTTCTCTCGATCGAACGTTGCAAAAATTATAGAACATACGATGCGATTGCGCGACAGAAATATCATCTAAAGTGTTATAAAAAATGCAGGCAACTTGGAGATTTTCGATAAAACCGATTCATTATAAAAGTTGTTCTATCACCGATGTTAGAAAAAGATTAAAGTCGGTTTAAAGTGTCGCTTTTAACGTAAACAGTGTGGCCGGGTCTCTCTCACACATGATTAATTGCTGTTTTATTTTTATCATACTTACAATCATGCTGCAACTTGCGATAATTTGAACTTGGTTCTTTACGAAACACAAGTACTTTGTGTGTGACTTGGTTTGTACTTTTATAACTTCATGTCACGATGTCTTTATGTATGATGTTTCAAGAGATGTTTCGCCCGCAATTATCGCTCTTTCATGCACAAACTTTGCACGAGCAATTTGTCAATTTTTTTAAAAGAACTCGTGTACGAAGATGACGCTGATAATTATTAAAACACCCTACATTGGTCAAACTATGCAGTGTAACTACAGGAATATAACCAAGTCACACATAATGCTACGTAATGTGTATAAAAATGTCATAATTGAAGTTAAACTCTACTATGAAAGATAATGGAAAAAAATTAATAATTTTTGCTAGTCCTCTTTTTTAGCTTTGTATGTCGCAGAATAAATGTACTGATGATATAGGCTTGCTACCTCTCTCGCGTCGCGTATTTTTTGTTTCATCCGAAACGTAGAGTAGTTTCATAACGACTAGTGGACCTCTCTCACCCTTTGCCTTGTTCTCCGAATAAATTCTCTCTCTCTCTAGCCCCACCTTCCGCCCCATGAATCTCTCAAGGCTCGAACAAAGGACCCAAATAAATACAAATAGCGCTTTCGAACAATGGCCACCGATGCAGGCCTCCGCCTATATGGCGTTGTCTATGCGGCCCTCTCGTCTCATTCCTTCTTTCGTCTCGTTCGCCGTGCACGTTTGTACAATTGTGTCGAGAGAAACAGAGAAAGAGCGAGATTTTTCGGGGACAAGCTATGTATGTGCAAAACGGTGGATCGGGCACGATGGGTCTCCGCGCCATAATTGGCTTTGCCACGGCGAATCGGCCTCTCGCATTATGTCGCCGCGCGCATTAGCATACTCGCTTGAAGATCTCTTTCGTTACGCGCATAATTCCATAGGTAAGCCGCTCGAAGAGACGCTCGCGCTGATACTACTTCCATTTCGCGATTAAAATCCGGATGTCACCGAGATTTTTTAAATGACATTACCGATTGCTTAATATGCGCAGCTCGCTTCACTTCTTCGCGACAATTCGCAAGTTTCTTTTATCTTGGGTACTATTCGTGAAATCGATATAGGCACAAAAGTAGCATCTCAAATGCAAATTAATAATGAAATAATAAAATTTATAAAATAATAATAATAATAATAATAATCAATAATAAATTAATACGTGTGTGTGTGTGTGTGTGTGTGTGTGTGTGTGTGTGTGTGTGTATTAATTTCATTTTGTATTAATTTATTTTGCAAAGAGCCTATCAAGCAAATTTCACTGTGCTTTTGTTTTTTTCTGTGCAATTTTTTTTATTCTTTTATGCAGATCAGATACGGGTATGGGATTACAGTTCCAGGGACGGCTGCACTTTTGCCAGTCAGGGCTGGTTTTGAATAATTCCCTTAGAACCCACTGACACGGTGTCACCTGGATGAATGAAATGCGAACGACCGTGAGAGAGAAGAGAAAATTGTGAATTATAAAGAGTCTGCGTGATAAAAAACAATATTTACATTCGCAGTACTGTAATTCGGAATGGCAAAAATATTAATAAAAATTTCTAACTAAAATTTATTCCATTATCACTGGTTAAAAATTCAGTTTGTACTAAAACTAAATTTTTCAATCAACATAAGATATTTAGTCATAGTAAATTGTACAATGCTATCAATTGAAAGATTGTTTCGTAAGTAATTTTATTTCTCAATCTCATAAATTTACTCAAAATAAAAATCTATATCTCAACTTTCAACTCTCGATATTTTCCAAGTAATAAATTCTCCTAAGAAAATATATCTTGTCTTTTTCAATCAAATAAGCGTAGCACGATAATAGAAATTCATATTCCTTGAAGAAAACATTTCTTCTAAAGTAGCACATTTAAAAAAGTCACAAAATTGGCGCTTTTATATTATATCTTTTTCTCGTATAAGATCCACCATCCGAGATGATCGTATGTCCGCGAGAAAAAGTGCAAGATGCAAGGGAGTAAATAAGCGAAGGTGTTACATTACGTGACGAAGAGTCCCGTTGTAAAATTTCCGGACGGGACGGTAGGTCGCACCCGGTTTTTAATTCGAGGTCAATGGCGCTCGAGGGAGACTTAAAACTCGGGTTAACGACGGGTCTGTTGACCCCCAAGATTTTTTTGCCTTGGATGAAATCGGACCACCCTGTCATTAGCATACAAAAGTCGAGGCCGAGCCGGCGCAGCGCGGCGGTTAACGACAATCATTACTCGGGAGGTTAGTGACTCGTAAACTCTCTCTTTCTCCTCTCTTCTTGCGGTTATCCCTTAACGTTCGCCCCTTAGTCGCGCGACCACACTTCCGCATTCGCCTTCCTCGTTTAATGTTTGTTCCGGCGTTACCGTTCGACGTCAGGCAAAAAGACGAAAACCGTCGAAATACGAAGCGTATACGAAATGTTTGCAAATTTTTCACGCACTTATTAGATTAAAAAAAGAAGTAGAGAGAGAAAAGATTTGTGTAAGTAAAGCACGGTTCCTGTAATTTAACGCCTCTGTGATTTAAAGTATTGTAAAATCCTCTTTTCCAGAGTATGTACAATATGTTTTATTCTTTTATTCGAAGATATATTGTATAAAGCCATGGGATATATGCATTTGACCGCAAAATAGGATGTCATGGATGCTAACGAAATTTCCCTGAATTTGTAAATTGCAAATTTGACGATTATATGATTAAAAAAATGATAAAGCAAATAGCTAAAAAGTATTAACTGAGAAGTTATTAAAATCCTTTTTTATTAATACTTTCAACTTAATATCTTGATATACATATATAGGTATGTATGTTATTCTTCATAGAATTATTATGAAGAAATTAGTTAATAATAAAGTAAAAATAAAACATCACTACTTAAAAAATTATAAACACGCATATAAATGGCAGTTACATATTTCTAACGATATTCACTGATACCTATTAAAATCGTATGTTTGATAAAGATCCAGACCGAGTAGGCTGTACAGAGGGAATGCTCGCGTCTTCCGTTTCCGTCAATCATTTCAAATTAGCGTGCGCAAAAAACACATCTATCCCGAATTCGTTATGTCCTGTCCACAATAGACAGGTCTTGCGAGCCGTCTCGCCAGGAAACGCCATCGTCGTGGGAGAAGGAAGACGTTAAGGTTTTTTTTTTGGTACTCCCGCGTTTTTGTCTTCGTCGGCAGTTGAAAGGGTTGCGCGGAAACGTCGGAGAGGAAGGTAGGGACGAGAGGGAGAGCGAGAGATAAAGTGAGAGAAGAGGGACCGAGACGAGACGGAAGCTGTTGAGACGTGTGGGAAACTGGCCCAAGGTATGCAAATCCGGGACTGGTGCTACGAGGATCGACAAGGATCGAGAGGGGACACTTTGCCCCCGTTGCAAAAAAAAAGCGACAACCTTCGCATATCGGCATTGTATTCGCGTCCCACCAGTGGACCAGTGGCACCGATCCTATGTAAATCGCCGATCAAAGACTCGCCACGTCCCTTCTTCGTGTCGATCTTCAGATCTTCGAGAGATTCACGCGAGAGACGCGCTTCGAATAATACGAGCCGTCTGAAATGTCGTGGTTGCTACGAGAAACGAATGTGCGATCGCGCAAGAAAACCTCGAATATCGGTCTATAGATTAAATATTGAAATTTTTCTATTCATTGAATAGTAAATGACATTATCTGTCTTGATTTATTTATAATCATTAATATTAACTTGTTATTAAATTCTTATAAAAAATTGTGATAAGCATATTCAGATTAAGATATACAGATTTGATACACGTTTATACTTAATTGTAACTGGATAAAATATCCCCCACATGTTGATATGAATATATATTTTTATTTGAAAAATTGAAATTTCAAAGCAATAGCATATAAGTTCTTTTCAGGACTTACTGTTGTTCTTCATCTTGTTGATATATCAATTTAACATCTATTTCCGGGCCCAGTCGTTCGCGAAGTTGATCGAGAACGTCAACTTGAATTTGATCGACGTTTTCGAGAGGAGTATAATCATCTTCGCTAGATCTGCAAGACAAGAAATATTATCAAGTTATTTAAGGCTACAGCTAAGAATAATAACTTGTTAGACTTTTAGAAAGACTTAAAAGATTGGACTTTTAGAAGATTTAAAATATCTTATCACTTATGTGATAATATGCCATTATTCCGAATCTTTTAATTTTAAGAAGCTTTATTATAACTTTTCCTTTTCGTACATTTTGAGAAAAAAATCGTCCTCTTACATAGCTATTCTCGTTATTATTTTTTTCTATGATCATCAATTCTTTTACTTTCATCAGTTTCACTTTCCTAGTGATTCAATATTTCTTTTGTTTTCTCGTCCTCGTCAATTTTTGTCTCTTAATCGCCGTTTGGCAAACTACGAGAGAAACTGCAAACTGTCCAGAGGCGATATCCGGCGGCGTTACCGCGTCTCCCCCGGAAACTAATGTGCTGAAATGAGGGTTGGGGACAGCAAGGGGTGGCAATACGTCGAATGGGGTAGAATCGATTTTTTTTAGTCTCTGCCGGAAGTTTCAGCAGAATCTCCGTGCATTTATCACGAGATGGCGCCAAGTTACCACTTACAAGATTATTTCTCTCTCAAAGTTTGTTACTACTTTTATATACATATATGGAATTAAGTATATATATTATATAACAATAAAAAAATGTTTTACGATAAAATATTATCTTTAATATTTTTTTTTTGTATTTCACGCGAGCAAGACATTTCCGTTAAACCTTGAAAATGAAATTCTAAAACAGCCGTCCAATAAACTTAGTACAAATAGTTATATAAGTTTCTGCTCCTTAATTTATTTAAACGTATATTCTCTCATATCAATGTTTATATGATTTTTGTCGTATGACGAGGCAGTTTTCATTGTCCATTTATATTTATTTATCATCATACAGTTAATGCATTCATGAGTACTGTACTGATATACCTATGTCGTAATCTGTAATCACTAACATGTATTTTTAAAATAATATTTAGACATATTAGCCGGTCTTCATAAATATCAAATATTGTATATTACTATTCTTATACAAATAAGTCCGTGTTTAAGGATTCTATTTACAACCAAATTATACTGAATTATTCAATTATTTTAATTTCAAGAGAAATATCGTCGTGCTAACTCGCCTTAATTTTTAGAAGATGACGAAACAAAATAGAGAGACAAAAAAATACACAACATCTATTTCAGGAAATCAAAAGCAGGGACATCTAGTTATGATACGTGAAAGTTGGATGGTTTGATTTTATGCACCCCTATGTGGAACCCATCTGGAAGGTGGGGCTTAACGGTATACCCATGATCCTAAACCCACCCCTTGGACAGCCCCGCTATGTCGCTTCTGTAAGCCGCCCTTCTTCTCTATTTCGTGCCCTCCCAGCATCTTCTTCCGCGCCATCTGCGGTATTGCGGGCTTCGGTTTCACGCGTGTAAAAGCAAGACAATACAATTTCAACCGTTGAAACCGTACATTAAAATCAATTTGTACGAGTCGAGCATTTAATCGTCAGTACGCGCATGAACGTCACCTACTGCGATTAACACAGACCTTCCATCCTTTTAAAGATGCTGTGCAATCCTCTCACAACAATTCTTGCACGTGCAATTATAATTACCAATACATCGCTAATTCGTATCATTATGAGGTCATATTTTCAGTAAAATATGATGCAACATCTGAGACATTAACACGATTTTATTAATTTTAATAACAGTAATTTTTTAATATAAATCAAAATATTACATTCAAGAAACAAAATTTTATAAATCAGCTATAAATATACTCATATAAAAAAAGAAATTTTGTAATTGTTCGATGAAGTGACTTACCTAGCTATGGTGACGATTGTTGGAGACGTGGGAAGAGCCGTCAAAAATAGTCTGAATGTTCCATTAATCAAGCGATCGAGATCGTTGGGTTCTGTTACGTGCTCGGGTAGAGTAGTATCATCTATAGTGCAACCTGCATTGTACACTAGCATCCAATCGATCTCAGAATCTCTATAGGCGCTCGTTACTTCTTGAAAAAGTCGATCCACGGCTTCGTATCTGAAATTGTAAAACATTTACATGACTCGTGAGGATAGCTCGCTAGAAATTGTAATCGCGAATCTTACAATTAGAAAAAAAACATGATATGGAAAGCCTCCTTTTCTAAGGAGAATTTAATTAAATAAATACGCATAATATATAAAAAAATATTACAAATATATCATATAAGAATGTATTGTATAAAAGTATTTATATAATATTTCGTACGTATTTTGCTTTTTTCTTTATTCTTTGTGCCATTCGTTTGTGAAAGTAACACGTCGCGAGCGGACTTGGCAGTTGCGGGCTCGACGGCGAAAGCAACACGCCGCAAGCAGACTTGGCTATGCGCTCGACATTTTAAAAAATGTCAAAATATGCAATCTCTGTGGTAACAGTGTTTCAGCATATTGTTGCAAACTCAAAAGAAGTGTATTATTGATTTATTCCGTTCTTTAAAAATAATGATAAATATCTAATAACGAATAAAATTACTCGTTAACTCTCCCAATATACAAACTATCAAATTGCACATTAATTTTTGATTAATGGCATTTCGTATCCTTATCGAGACTCATATCGAGATAATCAATTGCGGAAAGAAGCAATAATAAATTTCGATATTTCTGAATAACCATAACATGTCTTTTTAATAGCGAATATATTTACAAGATGTGTATGTGTGTGTTTTGTCAAGCTAATTAGTCATTTGATTAAATATTGATTGTGTAATTATTGCAATTGCAATAGAGGCCAATGAGACTTATTAAAATTATTATAGAATATTAAGCATTAAAAAAACTTTCTCAACGATAAAGACGTGTTTGAAAAAAGTGATTACACAGATAATTTATAAACTTCATCATAAACGCGCGCGCGCAAGGAAGGGCTAAGGAAGGGCTAGACGGAGGACAAAGGTGAACGATGAAAAGTTTATAATGCTTCAACGATAGCACGTGGCTGCAAAAGTTGAGGTATTTCCCGAAGGCACGCGACGAAAGTTAACACGGCCACAAGAACGGTTCCGGGTGCCCGTAATTTGTACTTCTCCGTTCCTCTCTACGAGCGCTCTTTATCTCCCTCCCTCCATGACTCCCTTATACCGCCCTCTGCTTTTACTCTTATCTGATCACAAGTTTTCCTCGTTTTCTGCAGCTGCAATTCCTGACGCGGCACGATCGAACGATATCTCCGTTGACAAGCAGGGGCCGATCATCTGTTTTTTATTTAGATTACCGATAATGATATCATTGGGGATGACGGTACGGGAATCGCGATGGCGAGCTCACATCGTAAACCTGTCTCGTGGTGGGACAGTTTGATCACACTGCAAAAAACCGGCGTAGATCTTACCATAATTATCATTAGTATTTCGTAGATATATATATATATATACCGAGAACCTTACAAAGATATCGCGATGGAGCGGCAGAAAAAAAGGTTGAAATGAAACTTGGTTCGCTTTATTCAATGTTAATTCAAATATCATGGGGTATTTGATAATAAATTCAAGAGTTGTGCAAATATATGTATTCGAAATTATGTTCGTTAAAAGATTTTCTACGAACATTATTTACTACAAATTAGGAAATAGAGAGAAGGAGAAATTAATAAATATATAGTCACGTTTATCGATGCAGACTTTGATAAGAACAGATCTCAAGGTTCTTTACAAGATAGTATACTATAAAGCGCTCTACCATCGACATAAATTAGACGATGCATGCACCAGAAGGCTAGGGGACACCTCCGGTATTAATAACGGAAACACACGCAGGTCCTCCACGCCGTATCATTTCACCACTAATGCATGGCTGAGCGCATAATTTTCGAATTAAGTTAAGCGGTCTCGGGTTAGGTGATCACGGTAACCGAACGTCCGTCCATAATGGGCGTAATTGCTGAGAGAGAAGATGTGTTCTTGCCTTTTTAGTTTCTCTTTATATACGAACCAGTAGAACCAGGTGCGTGCTGGCTAGCAAGCAAGCGGCTCGTCTCAGTCGCTAACGCGTCAACTGTTTATAAGAGGAGGCCATCGTCGGCCTTTCTCGCCCACTTTTTCCTCGCTGAATATTAATTATTCTCCTGAAAGTCGCACCTGCCCTATAGCCGCCTCCAGGTCAGGCACACGTGAGCCCGCTTCTTCATATCTATCACAGCTCGTGATTCTCACCGCAGATTATCCTGACAGTTGGTTATAATGCTGGTAACGATCGATCTCGAAAAAGCACGGACGGTTTTGCGTCTTTGCGTGAGCAACTACGCGAATAATACTGCGAATGATACAGAGAGAAAACCATGTCTCCTAAACATGATTAGCTCAAAATATAGATATTGTAATAAGAATAATAAACTGTTATTATTTCATCATATTTAAAATAAAATGCAATATGCATTTTTATATAACAATTTTATGATATTGTAATTAATGTATATATTTATGTCTGTCCACGCAAAAGAGAATTTTTTGTGGACATCCTGTTTACTTGATATATTTTTGGAATATTATAAAAATATTGAGAGAAGACGTTCCTTTTCTTTTATTTTTTCTTTTTATATGTGTAACGGAATAAAATTCTTCGCGCTTAATATTTAGAATCTTAGAGATAAGTTTATAAAAATCTAGTACAAATTATTTAAGGGATACATAAATACAACTGCAATATAAAATGAGAATATCGCTCGTTATTATAAATGTAATAATATGTGGATAAAATTGAGTATATTATTAATCATATTTTTTGTTACACAAACAACGTTTTAGCAACTAAAACATTTCATTAAAACCTTGAAAGGGATGAAGTATGATCGATGATGTTTAGGCATCGTTGATAGATATAATTACAGATGAGTTATTGCACTCATCACAGGAATATATTATAACGACGCATGTTTCGTAAACATTCAATCTCGAGAAGCGATTTTTCAGATCGCATCGTTAGTGCGATCCATTAAGAATCTCGAGGTTTGCGAGAAATTACTAGGTTCACATAGCCCTATGATTTCCTTCGCGTAATTCAAATTTAATATCCGTAATTTAAGATGCTCGAAAGCTGCAGGTAATCATAAAATTTCGATGTTTAAATGCCAGGTGTATATTACATCAGAAACTTGTTAATAATATCGATAATGCATTAATCGTAAAAAATACTTTTATGTAACTGGTTTTAATGGAGCTTATTATGCGTGCGCATGCGTAGACTTGATAAATAAATTTTCTTTTAATACATTTTGAAGCAGGCCTAATTAAAAATATTTTATATAAGAATGTATGCACAAAATAGTCTTTAAGGTAATGGCTAATGATTTATTTAATTTTAATTAAATTTTATTTTAATAGAAACTTATTTTAAATGTTTCTATCGAAGCACTTAACATTAAAACTAAAAAATTGTGACAAATAATAATTGTGATTACAATATTGTCATTCATCACAAAAACAACTTTTTACGCGTTGTTATTGGATATTTTGAAATCTCGCTGAGAATGAGAGAATGAAAATAACCAAAAAATCCGTATGTGATAGTTTATGATTTGTTAGGTCGAAGGAAATATTTTATCTTTCGTCTTTTATTACTGACGATTATTTCTGGACAAAACAATCGTAGCGGCAGGATATTATCTACGTGCTGTCACGGCTACAATTATATACGGCTGCAAAAACGATCGCGAGAACTCTTTGTGGACTCTTTTTTTTTTCTACCTATTTCAGGAAGCAGATGTCACGAGAGACTAGTGCCAACGCATACCACCTCTATCTCTACGATTCATATTTTTCGACATGTGACCGACCAGTTTTGTTATTTTCCACCACTCCTCTCTCTTTTTTTTTACACAACCTACGTCCTCGTATAATGAGAGCAAAAGGAATACGAGCAAGAAAAAACGAGAGAGAAAGAGAGAGACGGAAGGAAGAAGAGAGACAAGAGTAACGAGGAAGAGGAAGTGAGATACTACTGGTCCACACTGTCCCGACGAATGAGTTAACGGACAATGGCGGTCCACGTTGAAAAAATAAAGGAAAGAGGGACGTCGAACGAAGGGAAGGGGCCCTCATTACGAAGGGCGCCCCCGGTGTGTTTGTCGATAAGGGGGCCTATATGCAAATGGCCGTCCGTCACCGGGCGCGACGGGAAGAAAAAGTTTCCCTCTCTCACCCTGTCTCTTTCTCTCTTCTTCTCTCTATCTGCGCCGATACTACTTTTCTCGGTGCAGGAATAATGCCCTCCGACAATACGCTAAAGCAGAAACGGAGTAGGGAGGGTATAATGTATCGTAATCAGATGATCAATTATTAAGAGCGCGGCAAAAAAACAACGAGGGTTGACGTACGAGCGACAGGACAGGAACGTATCCGGATGCAAGGGATCCTTCGTCCTTTTTCTACTTCTGCGATCCATCTCGGGATCTCCGAGGCGACTGATACTCGATACGCGTTTTAAGCTTGCATTAGAATACTGCGGGTTCACGTGTCCTCTTATCGCGAGAAGCGCATCATTATACAATTTAATACCTGCATACGTTATTAAGAATGCTTTTATAATAATGTTCGCTTCAAATGATCATCGAATTCACATATATCTCAGACAACAAATGTAGAATAACAACGATGCTCATTTAAAAAATTGTAAAAAAAAAGTAATAACCCTAAAATTGATCCTTCGCAAGAAACGTATCGCTTTCTTCGAGGTCGACCTTTCCTCTGACCTGATGTAACCGAACTTGTTTTACACGAATGTTTGCTGAGCGTTAAGAAAATACATCGATATCGAGTTACCGATCTATAATGGATATAGACTATAGACCCAGCTGCGTTCACGCGTGTGATCGAAGGCAAACGTTCATTATGCGTGACCCAAAAAATTTCCGTTATCTATTACCATATGCTCTGAGATGATAATGAAGTGAAAACTGCTTGCAGTTGGGTATTAAATGTCAGCAATCTATATCATTTTTCTTTGGCCAGAATATATAATTTCAATTAAACTATGGATATCAAATTCAATAAGTAATTGTTG